TTCCTGGAAGTCCACAGGCACCTACGTTGACGCGGTTCCTGTCAGACCATATAGCTTACTTGTTTCTGTAGGCTATAGTGGGGTATCCCATAAGGGGTACAACCCAATCAGGGTTTCCTATTTGTACCCACTTCGTTCATAGTCATTTCATTCTCGTTCACTTCTTCTCATGGTATCGAGCAGGTTCCCCTGTGGGAACTGTTCGTAGGGCCCACCACCGCTACCTCTTAACTTTTTTTTTTCTGCCCGGAGCGCGCTCCGGGCCCTAGTACTTCTTTTTTTTCGATCTGCCCTAGTGCTCTGACGGCCGCCCGCCCTAGCGCCCGAGCGCCGCCGCCCTTGCGCCCTGACGGCCGCCCGCCCTAGTGCCCTAACGGCCGCCCGCTCTAGCGCCCGAACGCCGTCCGCCCTAGCGCCCTGACGGCCGCCCGCCCTAGCGCCCTGACGGCCGCCCGCCCTAGCGCCCGAGCGCCGCCCGCCCTAGCGCCCGAGCGTCGCCCGCCCTAGCGCCCTGACGGCCGCCCGCCCTAGCGCCCGTGCGCCGCTCGCCCTAGCGCCCTGACGGCCGCCCGCCCTAGCGCCCTGTCGGCAGCCCGCCCTAGCACCCGAGCGCCGCCCGCCCTAGCGCCCGAGCGCAGCCCGCCCTAGCGCCCTGACGGTCGCCCGCCCTAGCGCCCGTGCGCCGCTCGCCCTAGCGCCCGAGCGCCGCCCGCCCTTGCGCCCTGACGGCCGCCCGCCCTGACGCCTGAGCGCCGCCCGCCCTAGCGCCCTGACGGCCGCCCGCCCTGACGCCTGAGCGCCGCCCGCCCTAGCGCTCTGACGGCCGCCCGCCCTGACGCCTGAGCGCCGCCCGTCGTCGCCCCAGCGCCCTAGCGCCCGACGCCCGCGAGCCGCCCGTCGCAGCCACCCGTGAGCTGCCTGTACGCCGCCCGCCGAGCAGCCCGTGCACCCGCCCAGCGTGAGCCGCCCACGACCGCCCAGGCCGCCGTCCCTGAGCCGCCCGCGCCGCCGTCCCTGGGCCGCCTGTGCAGCCGCCCGCGAGCCGCCAGCGAGCCGCCCGTCGCGACGCCCGCGTCGCACGAGCCGCCCGTACAGCCGAGCCGCCCCAACCGCCCGTGCAGCAGACCCGCCCGAGCCGCCCGAGCCGCCCGAGCCGCCCGCGCCGCCCGCGCCGCCCCAGCAACCCGAGCCGCCCGAGCCGCCCGGGCAACCTGAGGAGCCGAGCTCCTGCTCCTGCGGGGCTGCTGCTGCTCCGAGGCGTGCGCAGCTGCTGTTCTGCCGAGTTGCTGAGCCGCTGTGCTACCCGACTCTTCGTGCCCGGTGAGACAATCAGCTGCTGCAATGGCCACCCCCAGTGTCCTGTCTTTTGACGCTGAGGGTCGCGCCATTGACTTTCCAGTCTGGATTGAGGACCTGCAGCTGTACTTACTGTGCGATGCGATCGATGAGGTTTCTCTCTTTGACTTTGTCTCTGGAGCTGTCCCTGCCCCTCCTGCTGATGCTGACCCTGCTGTTCGCTCCAAGTGGGCCACACGCGATGCTGCTGCACGTCTTGCTGTGCGTCGCCACCTCCCTTCCTCCGAGCGTGCCCACTTTAGTCAGTGCAAGACCGCTCAGGCCTTGTACGACGCTGTAGTTGCACGCTACTCCTCCCCTTCCTCCGCTACGCTGAGCCGCCTCATGCTACCGTTTCTCTTCCCTGACCTCGCTGCCTTTCCCACTGTCGCTGACCTCGTTACCCACCTCCGCACTAGTGACGCTCGCTACCGCGCTGCCCTTCCTGCTGAGTTCCGCGCCGCAAACCCTCCTCCCATGTACATCACTCTCTACTTTCTCGTCACCCGTCTCCCTGAGTCCCTTCGTGTCGTTAGGGACCAGTTTCTCTCTGTCTGTCCCACCACCCTCACTGTCGACCTCCTTGAGGAGTCCCTGCTAGCGGCTGAGCAGAGCATCGTCGCTGTAGGGGCCTCTCGGGGTGACCCTCGCACCCCCATCTTTGAGGGGTGTTCTCCTTCCCCCCTGCTGCCCTCTGTCGCCTCTGCCGCTGCGGCCGACCTCACTGGTTTTGAGTCGGTCGGTTCGGCGTCTGCCCCCAGCGGTAGACGCCGCTCTGGCAAGGGCAAGGGGGGCAAGGGAGCGGGTGGAGCTAGAGGGGGCAGGGCTGGGGAGGTCTCCGGCCGCGGTACGTAGCTCGTGGCTCTTGACTAATTTCAGACCTTCTCTCCCACCCCAAAGATGACCACTCTTCGGGTGCTGCTGCACATAGCCGCTCAGCGTGACTACGAGCTTCACTCCCTTGACTTCAGCACTGCTTCCTGCAGGGTAGCCTGCACAAGGAGATCTGGCTGCGCCGTCCATCTGGCTTCACTGGGACTTTCCCTCCTAGCACCCAGTGGAGCCTCCGACGGCCAGTCTACGGTCTCTGCCAGGCACCGCGCGAGTGGCAGGACACACTGAGGACTACGCTTGCGGCTCTTGGGTTTGCTCCCTCTACTGCTGACCCGTCGTTGTTTCTGCGCACCGACACCTCTCTGCCGCCGTTCTACATCCTCGTGTACGTCGACGACTTGGTCTTTGCCACAGCTGACAGTGCTGGACTCGCCCACGTGAAGTCCGAGCTGCAGAAGAGACACACGTGCACAGACCTCGGTGAACTGTGCAGCTACCTTGGCTTGCAGATCACTTGGGACAGAGCACGCCGCACCATTACCCTGACTTGGTCAGACATGGTGCAGCAGGTCCTTCAGCGCTTCGGCTTCACGTACTCCTCGCCTCAGGCCACTCCTCTGTCTACTCGCCACTCGCTCTCAGCTCTGCCTTCGGATGAGTCCGTAGAGTCGAGTGGCCCGTACCCAGAGCTTGTTGGCTGCCTCATGTACCTGATGACCTGCACACGACCTGACCTTGCATACCCTCTTAGCATTCTTGCACGGTATGTTGCTCCTGGGAGACACAGACCAGAGCACATGGCTGCAGCGAAGAGGGTGTTGCGCTACTTGTGCAGTACGTCGGGCATGGGGCTAGTGCTTGGAGGGCGCAGCCCAGTGGTCCTCACTGGGCACGCGGACGCTTCTTGGGCTGACGACCAGGCTACGCAGTGGTCGTTACAGGGTTACACCTTTAGTCTTGGTTCAGGCTCTGTTTCGTGGCGGGCTACTCGCTCGTCTTCTGTTCTCGGCTCCAGTTGTGAGGTTGAGATCTACGCCGGGGCCATGGCTGCACAAGAGCTTCGCTGGCTCGCCTCGTTCTCCTCCAGTGCTGTACGTAGACAACAAGGCCATGCTGGCCTTGTGTCGGGAGCAATGCCTGGAGCACAGAACGAAGCACATTGCACTCCGCTACTTTCTTGCTCGTGAGTTGCAGCAGCGTGGTCAGTTGCGACTTGCGTATGTGGCCTCTGAGGCCAACACTGCTGATGTTTTCACCAAGGCAGTTCCGTCTTGTGATCATCAGCGCTTCTGTACTCAGCTGGGTCTTGTACCTGTCTTGCTTCACTTGCTCACCTCTTGATCTTACTTGTACTCTTGCATATATTTATATACATGCGCTTGCTTGTTTATTTTATATATATATATATATATATATATATATATATATATATGCACTCCTGCATGTGAACTGGCCTTATGGCCTTTACCTTGTGCTCGGACTGTGTGGTGATGTTGTGATCCACCCTGAGCTTTGCTTTGCTTTGTTTGACTGGTCTTGTGACCACTTGTTCCCCCCCACTTTGCCTATGGGGGTGTGTCAAATTATAACATTCTGTAGGCTATAGTGGGGTAGCCCATATGGGGTACACAGTTCTAGGGTTGCATATTTGTATCACTTCCATTCCTTAGTGCATCATTCCTCGTTCTCATTTCCTCAATCATAATACCCCCTGATATTATGTACGGGAGAATACGGTCGCATCGACTCGATATCTTAGCCCGTTTCATGAAAAGTTACACTCTCGAATGGGTACTTCCTAAATCTCTTGTGTCTTTTCTTTATTATGAATTCTTATTCTCACATTCGACCAGTACAGGCATTCAAGACTTCCGCAGCAATAACAACAGTGAGTCTAAACTCAAAATGATGCTTAGGCTATTCTCAGCCCAACAATGCTTATAGCTGGTTGCCAAATAGAAGCCCACCCGAAATTCTGTCAACCTTCGTACAAACGCACCCACTGAATCCTAGTTTTTTTTTGTGAAATCGCCACTAACGCGCCTAAACCAATCGCCACTGACGTGCCTGACAAAATCCCCCCTGGCTCGCTTGGCGAAATTGCCACGGGAGCGCACGTAAGTCAAATTTTGCATTTCTGCAGGTGCTGACAGGGATTATTGCCAGTATAACGCATTCTTGAAAATTTTCAGCAGAGAACCCACTTTGTGTTAGCATCGATTGAAACCAAATTGGTACGCTTGGTATTGTATCACCTACCGTATTCACCCGGATATACCCCCAGGTGGGGGTGTAAAAAAACATGGAAAAATGGTGGGTGGGCTTATAATGTGGTAAATTTTATAACCCCATGGGCTAAATAAATGACACTTATGGAAATTTAATTTCATAACACTGGAATGTGGATTTCACCCTGGCGATTTAAATCGATGCTAACACAAAGAGGTTCCATGCTGAAAAGTTCCGAGAATGTGTCGTACAGTCAAGAATCCCAGTCAGCACCAGTCAAATGTTGCAGATTTCGCACACGTGCACCTCCTGTGGAAATTTTGCCAAGCGAGCCAGGGGGGAATTCGTCATGCACGTCTGTGACGATTCGTTTAGGTGCGTTAGTGGCGATTTCACTAAAAAAAAAACAGAATTCATTGGGTGCGCTTATACAAAGATTGACAGAAATTGGGGTGGGCTTATAATCGGCAACTGGCTATAAGCCCACTAGTACGATTATAACCGCATGGGTGTAACATAGGCCTGGGGGTATATCCGGGTGAATACGGTACCTGCCTTCCCCATCCTACTTTTGCTCCCTCTCAGATGCATCATGGCTCCATTCATCTTCCACCACTCACAACATGCTCCCCATTCCCCCCACTAGTCTCCTCTTCGTCCTCCACACTCTCTTCCCCCATCAACTCCCGCCTCAAACCTCGCACCACACGCACTACATCCTCTGAGTCAGGCCTCTCTGCAGGGTCCCTGGCCCAGCATGCCTCAATCAGCCGCCTCAGCCCCTCAGGGCACCCCGCCGGTATCGCCGGCCGCAGCCCATTCAGCGCCACCGCCACCGCAGCCTGGAGCGGCGAGTAACTCTCGTAGGGTAACCGCGCAGTCAGCAGCTCCCATAACACAATTCCGAAGCTGTACACGTCGCTGCGAGGGGTGACGGACCAGTGACCCGTGGTGCCGAAGGCCTCAGGGGCCATCCAGCGGTATGTGCCCACCTCCTTGGTCATCTCCGCTCCGTCTCCCACCAGCCGCGCCACTCCAAAGTCCCCCACCACTGCCCGACCGTGCTCGTCCAGTAACACATTGGCCGTCTTGAGGTCGCTGGAGAAAGGTGGGGGGGGGGGTATGGGAGTGGTGGAGATAGCAGGATTGGTTGTAGGACTGGGCGATGTGTGAGAGAAGAGGGAGAAGGGTAAGAGGAGTGGAGAGAGTGGGGAAGCGGAAGCTGGGATCAGGGATGACGTGGGGTGGAACGGGTAATGGTTGGGGAGGGGGAACGGAAGTCATTGATGAGCCAGGAGCCACAAGATCAGGAAACAAATTCTTGCCCGAGCAAACCACGCATGACCCCAGCCAAGACCAGACACCCACCCACTTATTCCCATGCTCCCCGTTGACTTCTGAGTCAACTCAAAAGTCAACCCAGCCAAGATCAGACACCCACCCACTTATTCCCATGCTCCCCTCTCCAACCCACCACACAGACCTCACTCACGCCCATTCATCATTCCCGCTCACCGGTGAATGATTCCATGGCGGTGGAGAAACCGCATCCCCAAAGCAATGTCCAACGCCACGCGCAGCAGCTGCAGCAGCGGCAGGCCCACACCATTGCGCCTCCTCAGCAGGTCGTGCAGAGTGCCGCCCGGCATGAGCTTGGTGACGATGCACATGCGGTGCCGCACGTCCACACACACGCCGTAGAAGCGCAGCAGCTGTGGGCACCGCTGCCCACACGACACCATCGCCATCACTTCTCTCCGGAATTCTGCCCGCGCTGTCGCACCGCTGCTGCCGGCAGCTCCGCCACCACTGCTGCCGGTGATGCTGGTGCTTGAACAGATGGCGATCTCGGAACGACTGCCAGCACCAACTGACGCAGCAGCAGCAGCAGTGGTAGTCGAAGGAGGAGCGACGGTAGCAGCAGCTGCTGCTGCACCGGCTCCCCACTTTCGACTTCCCCTCCCTCTCCCTCCTCCCCGTCCACCACCCACACCTGTAACCCCTCCTCCTCCCACCCCACCCCCAATCCCTGCCACGGCCCCATCTCTCCTCATCTCCCCCTTGAGAATCTTCACAGCCACGGGCTCGCCAGCATACCTGCCTCGGCGCACCTCCCCCGAGGCACCCGTTGCGATGAGCGGGCCGAGGTCGAGGCGCAGAGGGTCGAGGAGGAAGTGGCCCAGCTGCTCCCTCATGAGGCCGCGCTCTGACAGCAGCAGCTGCACGAGACCTGCAGTGGGGGAAGGGGAGGAGGGAGGGGGTGGGTGGGAAGGCGGAGAGGGAGAAGATGGATGGGGAGAGGGAGGAATTGAAGTGAGGGAGGAATGCGGAAGGGGGGGGAGAGGGGGGATTTGGGAGGCAGCAGGATTGATGAAAACTAAGGCATGGGAGTGATAGCGCCAGTGAATTGCAGCTGCAGCAGCAGCATTAGCAGACGCAAGAGCAACAGCAGCAGATGAGCAGCAAGCAGAAGCAAAGCAACCTGTAGCAATCCCTTTCCGCCCCACACATGTTCCTGCCTCTCAAATAGGATAAGTGGGATGCAACTAAATGCAGTGGGATTGCAGGGTCCACGAGCCACATGCAGCAGGGAGAGTGAGGAAATTAGAGTTGTGTGTGCACTGTCACACGGAAATTAGAGTCGTGTGTGCACTGTCACACGAATCAGCAGCACGCAAGGATTTGAGATGGTTGCCTTTGCCCATGGATGCGCACTCACCCTGTTCGTTCCTGGTGCCCTCCCTGCCCCCCGTTGCTCCATTTCCCCCATCAGCATCACAGGCACCAAGCACTGCTGCTCCTACTGTCACTGCTCCTGCTGCTGCTCCTCCCACTGCTGCTGCTCCATCCGCTGCTGATTCTACCCCTTTGGCTGCATCTGCTGACGACCTGACTGCTCCTGGAACCCCCACCCCCACCTCTCCCCCTCCTTTTTCCCCTCCCTTCCCACTCCCAGCCTGTCTACCTCCACATACACCACCACTCACCCACACTGCAGGACCAGCAGCACCACTCTCACCAGACTCATGCTGCAGTAAAGACGCATCCCCATTTCCACCCTCCCTTGTGCTATCCTTACATCTACGCCCTCCGCCCACTGCAGCTCCTGCTGCCGCTACACCTCCCTCGCCCACACGGCCCTGCCTGGCATCCACTCCCCCGTCACCCACTGGGGTGTTTATAGATGGCGCTAGCAGCTCCTGCGGGCCAGTGCCAAGCACACAAGGGGACGCGGACGCTGCCAAAGCTGGTTCTGAGAGTGCAACTGCTGATGCCGCTGATGCTGTTGACGCTGCTGATGTTGCTGCAAGGCCTGCTGCTGCTGCTCCAAGCGTCACTTTCATTGCTTCCGTCTCAGCAGCAGCTTGTGACACCTTCCCCCACTCCCCGTTCTTGCTATCGCTTGCAGATGCGAACTCACTCGCGCCACCAGCACCGCCAATGCTGCTGCTGCGACTGCCGCAGCTACTGCCACCGCTTTTGCTGCTGGTACTCCCAACACCCCAGCTACCACTGAAGCCTCTACTGCTGCTGCTGCCGATGCTCATGCTGTTGCCGTAGCTATTGCCTGTGCGGGAAGTCCAGCTGGAACTTCCCCTGCCTAGGAAGGACAGCGGGCCTCTTCTCTGTACACTACTGGCAGGCACAGCAGCAGCGGCACTTACACTGGCGGACGCTGCTGTATCTACAGTAGCAGTGACGGGAACATCTGCAAGTGTGGAGGGGCCATTATCAGGAGCAGCATTACCATCAGCAATAGCTGCACAGGCGGCGGCAGCAGCAGCCGTGTCAGTTGAATTTGGCGCCACACGTTCCGCAACACCAGTGTCCGGTGCTACCGCAGGTGTATCCTCTTTCTGTGAATCCAACGCATTTCCTCCCCCTTCTCTCCGGTCGACCCTCACCTCCTCCTCCTCCCACACTGAGAACCCCCCTCTCCCCCAGCTGAACCCGCCCCGCCCACTTCCCCCGCTGCAAGTGCTGCCCGTGCTGCCGTCCCCCTGCGTCCCATACGCCCCTTGAGGCGACCACACCCCGCTGCTGCCCCTCCTGCCGCTCCCTTGCTGCCCTGACCAGCGCCAGAGGGAAGAGAGAGAGAGAGCGGATGCAGAACCCCGCATCCCTCCCATGCCCACTCCCAGCCGTAGGCTGCTGCCACTGCCACCGCCACCGCCCCTGCTGCTGCTACTGCCACTCCTGCCATGTCTGCCACGTGTGGTGCTGCTGGCACCACCAGCTGCTGCCTCTCCCACATCCGCCTGCTCCATCTCTGCTCCCCTTGCTCCTCCTCCTCCTCGTCGTGTGCCTGGGGCTGCACCAGCTTCTACCAGTCTTGCTGTGGCTTGTGCAGAGGCAGCTTCTGCAGCACTGGTAGCAGCAGCAGCGATAGCAGCAGAGAGTGTGTCCTGCCAAGCGGGACCGACTGGCAGCAGCAGGGACGTCACGCCAAGGGTGCAGCCTGCTGGGCGTCCAGTCCATGTGAGCAGAGGCATGCACATGCACACTGGAGACTTCACTGATGCACCACCCTGCTGCTGCTGTAGCTCGGCCTTCTGATTTCCGCCGATTCCCTTGTTCCCCTCGCTCAGCCAGTCTGGTTGCATGCTGGGCGAAGGTGCAAGCTCAACCCCCTGCACTGCTTGTGACAGTGCGTTGAGCAGCAGAGGGTAGCACACGTGCAGGCTGCATGCAAACCGCACGTCCACGTGCACCAGCAGTGCTCCACACTGCCCTGCTTCTCCACCTGACCCCTGTGCTTCTGCCGCGCCTGGTACTGCCTCTGCTGCCGCTGCTGTTGTTTCTGTGGCTGATGCGGCTTCGGACAAGTCTCGTCTGGGCAATGCCACTGATGCTGGTCCACAACTATCCCCTACATTGTCTGTTGCACAGCCGCCTCCGCGCGTCACTTCCTCCCTCACCTCACCTGCTCCTTTCTCTCCGACCTCCTTGCCTTCTCCTTCCATACCCCAATCTCCTGCTTCCACACCCAAGCAACCTGGTCCTGCATCACTACCCCCGAATCCACCTCCTCTTTCTGCACTGTGATCGCCTCGCGCTGCGGCCAATGCCCTCTGCACCTGCTGCTTCGACCCTGACCCAGGCATGAACGCCGCTCCACTCACTGCCGCCCCACTCACTGCCGCTCCACTCACTGCCGCCCCACTCACTGCCGCCCCACTCACTGCCGCCCCACTCACTGCCGCCCTACTCACTGCCAACTCAGGCGCAGCATATCCCTGCCATGAGAAGAACAGCCCGCCCTCGTTACCGCCACCATCACCGTCCAACCCTGCACTGCTACTGGCAGCACCCCTTCCAGTCACACCACCCGCTCCACTGCAACTGTCACCACTCCCTGGTGATCTATCAATAACCACAGTGTCAGTTCCGAGAGCAGCAACAGCGGCACCTGCCTTGGACCCTCCAGTTGTACTGCTACAGTTAGTGATGCCGCCAGCAGCATCGCTACCCATGACACGTCTACAGCACTCACTATAAGCACTGCCACTGCCACTGCGAGGAGCAGATCCAGCAGCAGCGCCAGCGGCAGTGGCAGCAGCAGGGCCGTGGTGCGGGCGCAGCGTGACTACCACAGGCGGCTTGCAGGCAGGCAGGCGAGCAGCAGAGGCGAGGAGGTCCCTGTGGAGCACCACCTCCCAGGGGGGCAGCTCCACCGCCGCACTCGCATAGCTGCGGAGAGGGGGGAGAGGGGGGTGTGGGGGCGGGTGGAGCATGGGTGGGGTTAAAGGCGGTGGGAGAAGAGAGTGTATGAGAGCATGTGCGAGAATTGAATCAACACGGCATTGAGTTTGCTGCCTTGGGATTGCGGTTACTGGCAAGTGCGAGGGGACAAGTGCGTGCGTAGCAGTCGATGGGGTGGTAACGGGGAAGACTCACGAGAGCGGGAGGCTGTGAAAGTGCGCTTGCAACGACTCCACCAGGCCCGCTCTCACCGCTGCTGCGCCCACGCCCACTCGATCCCCCTCCACTGCCTTCTCAGATATCCTACCGCCATCCCACGGCCCATCCTTCTCACTGCTCCCGCCGATCCCCCCGCTGCCACTGATGGCTCCCTCGCTCTTCCTCAGCCGTTCCACCACCAACTCCCATGCCGCCTCCTTCACCCGCGCCTCATGGAAGCTGCCCTCCCGCATCCTTCCCCCCCGCACCCGCCCTTCCCCCACCCGCCCCTCCATCTCCGCCTCCATCGATTCCGCCCCCGGCGCTTCTCCCCGCGCGACTGCAGCTCCGCTCCCGCCACTACTACCGCCCCTAGGCAGCCAGCCCTTCCCCGCGCCCGCGTTCCTCCCCTTGCTGCTCCGCGGCCACAGAGCCCCCAGCGCAGCGGGTAACCCTCTCCCCGCCCTGCGCTGCGTCCAGCTTCCCCCGCCTCCCAAGCCTCCCCCAAGGCTGCCCCCGAAAGTGCTATTCGTGCTCGTGCTATTCGTGGACTTTGGGCTCAGGTTCGGGCTTAGACTCGGGCTGGGGCTCCAAACCGAGCTAGGACGGGAGCTGTGGCTCGGTCCGAGGCTGGGCGTGGGGCTCGGCAGAGGGCTGAAGCTGGGGCAGGGGCTGAGGCGGGGGTCGTCGGGATGGCGGAAAGGCGAGGAGAGAGGGGAGGGCGATGAGGGGGGCACCGTCGCGACGCCAGGACTCACGCTGGGGAAGTATGATAGCAGCGGGAAGGCTGGCGAGCTTTCCCCCACGTTGGGATTGCTTGCCGGCGTCACCAGCCACTGGCAGCTGGCGCACGTGGGGCAATCCACGGAGCGCGCGAGGAAAAGCCATGGCGTTGTGGCCAAGGCCGGTGCTGCAGTCGTTGTTGCACCTCCCAGGGGTGCAATTGACTGGGGTACCAGCGACATTTGAGGCGCATCGCTGCTCACGGCAATGACAGTCGTGCTACTGCTGCCACTACCGCTGCTGATCCCGCTGTTGACCGCAATGCTGATTGCGTTGCTGTCTGCGGTGGCGGCGTGTGTAGCTGTGCTGGTGGTCCGGGACAGGGAGGGTGGATCTGTGGCGTTGCTACAGCTCGTAGCGCGGGCACCTGCCGTTACCAAGCCATGGCGCATGGTGCTACCGTTGCTGTCGGCAAGGGACGTCGACGCTCCGGTGTGGAACTCCATATGCATCCGACTCGGATCTGAGCCGTCGGAGGACTCCAGCCTGTCGCTGGCCGTATTGGCGTCGGTTTGCTACGTTAGCGACGTCCCGTGCTAAGGCACCCTTCTAGGCCACGGATCTCGGTTACCATGTTACCGGATGTTCACAAGATTCGCGCACGCGGCGACTAGATCTACGCGAAGGCGAGCACACAGAAGCTGCGGAGAAGCGGTAGCCCAGTGCCATACAGTTTGTTTGTAAAATGCACGGACAGACGCCTACACGTAAGGAAGGCTAAGTAGAGAATTCCAAGCACAATTCACACCGTCATGAGAGAATCTCGACAAGGCGATCCGACGAGTCGTCGCGAACTTCCCCTGTCTGTTTTAAAACACTCAAACAGGAAGCAATCGAGGGCGATGTCTCGGGTCTTTTTTTTTTTTTTTTTTTTGAAGGATGTATTACACTTATAAAAGCGGGTACATCCACAGTCATAACTGTGAGGGGGGAAGGGGTCTGGCAAACCAACGGTCTACACTACCCTTCCGTGGAGTACTAAGGTGGATGAAAGATAGTTCTCGGGTTGTTCCAAACCGATCTGAATCCCTCTTTCCAACAAACGTGCAATTGTTATATAACAAACGTGTATGCCTTGATTGGTGGAGGGGCGCGCTCAATGCAGCCAACCTCACAAAAGGAATTCCCTTGGCAGATCTTCCCCCACTGCCGACAATGAAACACGACGTAGTTGCAATTGTTTCCAGTCTGCGAGTGCTGCATGCAGACTTCTCCGAACAGCTCTCCCAAGCAACCCTCTCACGTAACCCCAACCGGCGTTGTTGGACATATTTTTGCTACGCTAGTGGTAAGTGCGACAGGATCACTTCAGTAGCAGTTTTTTTTCCCTGCCAGTGTCACTCCCGAAAGTTTCTCTTTGCGACGTCATGTCGAGCCCCGCTCCTTGGCAGATCTTTTTCAAATTCGCCCGTATCATCGAGGCGAGGGTGTAACCCCAGTCCAGCAGGTACATTCCACAACCAGATTCTATCGCTGCAAGCAACTGATGAAGTCTGAGCCAATGGAATGAACCCAATGAATGTAGCTTACGTGGTGGCGCGCAGTGTAGATGGACGTAATCTGAGGAAATCGGGAACAAAATGTGCTTTCAGGGAGGATGTGATATTGGGCACAGAACCAGGAGTTGACGAGTTGAGGTGGACGATGTGCCAACCCTACAAACTATTATGAAGGCCAAGGTACACCACAAACAATATGATCATGATCAACAAGCTCACTAAGGGTATTAGCTGGCCCTTCGAGAGCCTCAATCAATGTCAAGCATTAAATGATATTTATGGGTTTAACTACACCGATCGGTGCAGCTTGATTTCCCCTACACACGGATTCGCGCATTTTTCTCAAACGACGAGCATCCAGAGCAGTTCTTTTTTTTTCCAATACACATGGTCTGATTTTATAACATACATACTATTTTTAAGTATTTATGTGAATTTTCATTATTTTCTAACTTCCATGTCTGCATGTCGGGCAATATGATAAGAGTCAATTTTGTTGGGCTGAGCTGCTCTAGGATCTTTGTAGAGTTAAAGTTTGAGTAGGATGATGTAATACCGGAAGCGTTGAATAAGAAAGCCTTGAACCACCTTGCGCTGGTATGTGAGGGCAAAGTAAGTTGATTAAAACAGGCAAATACAAAGCTTTATATAAGAGTACAAGGAATACGAATAGATGTAATTAAACTACATTGCTGTTGCGATTCGATACAGTGCGACTCGGGCAACCGCTCAATGTCGAGTCAGTTGTGTGTCCTTGCTGTCGCGCTGTATTGGTCAAGTCAGAGGTCGCTGACCTTTGACCTTCCCGTAACCTTCAGGCGGTTACCCTAACCTCCGAGGGTTGACTCGCGATGCTTCGATTTGGACTTCTTCGCTTTGTGTCCTGAGTTTCGACACGACAGAGGCGCTTAAGACTTATTGTTCCCAACACTCCCCTTCGCTTCTGGAGTGGCGCTGATGGTGACGTGGCCTTGTCCAGTCAGCAGCATGCAGTACTCGAACTTCTGTTTTCCGAGCTTTTTGGTCAAGTAGTCGGCTGCCATCTCGGACGTGGGACAGTAGGATAGTTCGAGTTTTCCTTTCTCGATCTCGTCTTTCACGAAGAAGTATCGCAGAGCGATATGCTTCGTTATGTTCGCGAATCCGCTTTTGTTGGCGATGCGAATTGCAGATTTGTTGTCGCAGAACAGGGTGAAGTTGGATAACTCAGCTAACTTTGCTTCTTCCAGCAGTTCGCGAAGGTAGAGTCCTTCCTTGGTGGCTGAGCAGAGGGCGATATATTCTGCTTCAGCTGAAGAGAGAGCGATTAGTTCCTGCTTACTCGACTGCCAGGAGATAGGTCCGATAGGCTCTAGACGATAGACGTAGCTTGTGCGAGAGCGCCTGTTATCTGAATCGCCGGCATGGTCGGCATCGACGTAGCCGATTAGTTTCGTTGACGTAGCTTCGCTCTTGTAGTAAGTCAGGCCGATCGTCGGCGTGCTCACGAAATAGTGCAGTGCGCGATCGAGCTCCGCCAGGTGCTCTGCTTCGGGTTTCTTGAGGTAGGTAGCGAGTTGGCTTGCGGAGTAGGATAGATCCGGGCGACAGGTGACGGCTGCGAAGAGGAGGCAGCCCAGTTTCCTCTGGTAGTCTCGTATTCCGGCAGCTTTGAGTGGAGCGGAATTTCCTTTGTCATCTCCTGCCGTGTAGCGGTATGGCGTGGCGATAGCGGTAGGTGTGAGCGAAAAACGCTTGGCGATCGTGTCGGCGTATTTCTCGGCGCTTAGATAGATCGCATTTTCTTCTTCGCGGATGTTGAGCCCGAGGTACTGCGTGACGGTAGAAGAGACCGTGAGCGTGAGGTCCTTCTGCAGCTCCCCTTCGAACCAGGTGGTGACGTCGTCGGTGGAGCCGATGTAGAGCAAGTCGTCGACATAGACTATCAGCAGGATGTAGTCTGCGTCTTTGGTGAGTCGGTACATCCCTTGGTCGTGAGGTAGTTGACGAAATCCGATGCGAGTAAGGCGGGTGTGTAGGTGCTGTTGCCACAGCCGCGGTGCTTGTTTGATTCCGTAGAGAGATTTCAGTAGCTGACAGACCTGATTGGGGTTTCCGTGGGTACCGTGTGGGAGTTCGACGAAGATTTCGGCGTCGACGGGTGCGTAGAGGAATGCATTGGCGACATCAATTTGTCGCAGCTTCTTCTTCTTCATGGTGGCGACGGCGAGAAGGATTCGGAGAGAGGTATGTCGACTGACTGGGGTGAATGTCTCGGTGAAGTCTCGTCCTTGCTCCTGATCGAATCCACGCACGACCCAGCGTGCTTTGAATTTCTCGATCGTGCCGTCTGCTTTCGTTTTGATGCGGAAGACCCATTTCCCGGTGAGAATAGTCTTGTTCCTTGCCACGCTTGCGGGAACGACCTTCCAGGTGTTGCGTTCCTCCAATGCCTTTAGTTCTCTGTCCATGGCTTCACGCCATTTCTCCCTGTGTTCCCCCCCCAGAGCCTGCTGAATCGTCGCAGGCTCCTTAGGAAGCGCGTTGCCGTGCACTGCGGTGACGAGGCCGAGGATTTGCAGCCCAGTCTGTGAGTATCGGGGGAGTGTTGGATCCTCGGGATAAGCTGCTTCGTCTCCCGCTTCTGGATCGGGTATGAAATTTGGCCCTATCCGTTCTGCTTCATTTGTGTTGACTGTCGCAAGTGTTACGTAACCGTTGTCGGCGAAGTGATAGAAGACTTCGGCGTTGGCACTGTCGCGAGGATTTTCTTCGTCCATGGGCACGTTGACGGAGCAGAACGGGAGAGGTCCGGCTTCTTCCGATGCGTTGTCGACGTTCTGTTCATCCCAGTTTGCTTCGTCCGCTGCTGAGGCGAATGCTCGGTCACCACGAAAGCCACCTGTGGGGTTTTGATTCTCGTGCAAGTTGGCGAGGTACGTTTGAAGGGTGAGTCGCTCGTAGAAGATCACATCACGTGCTGCTACTGTTTCCTTTGAGTGGACGTCGAAGATTTTCCACGCGTTGTAATTTTTCTCGATGCCGAGGTGTAGTCCCCACTGTGCCCGTTGTGAAAATCTTCCCGCTCGTGCTTCTGGGGGTCGGTACCGTACCATGCACCCGAAAACTCGTAACATTTTTGTGCTGCCCTGCTTCCCTGTCCTCAGCAGGTGCGGTGATGCGTTGTTCGGGAGTGACGACGATGACAACAAGTTGTGCAGCATGACAGCATGGTCCATTGCTGCAGGCCACTGGTGGTTGGGTAGCCGCATGCCACGTAGCAGTTTGCGCATGCTGTTCTGCAGAGTCCTGTTCATTCTTTCTGCGACACCTTGCTGCTGATGTGCGTAGGGAAGGGAGAGGAGTTGCTTGATTCCCCTTTCCGCCAGGTACTGCTTGAAGCACTGAGAGGTGTACTCTCCTCCTCCGTCTGACTGAAAGCTTTTGAGTTGTGTTCCTGATTCCCTTTCTGCTACCGGTAGCCAAGCGGCGAACGATGCGAGAGCCATGTCGCGGCTGGGTAGGTTTCGATGCCAGACGTATCGAGTGGCGGCGTCGATGAAGGTTATCGTGTAATTGTAGGTGACTTGTCCTGGTTCTCGATTGAAGAGGATGTCGCTGTATACTTTCTCGAGTGGTGCGTATGTAGGTGCGCTTGGGTTGTGGTGAGAAGAAAACGGTCGATGGGGTAAGTCGGCTTCGGGGCAGATAAGGC